AAAAGTCTTAAATAATTTATCCGTTTACTTAAAGAAATTTCAAAACCTTTTTACTTTTTGTAATACAGAATATAAATTTTTTAAATGGCTAAAGGAAAAAGAACTTGTTGATTCTCTTACTGAATTTACAATAAATAATGAAATAAATATAGTTCATATAAATGGAGAACTTATTCATGATGAACACAACACCAAAGGTGTTAATGCTCCCTTTAAAATTCAATTTTAAATTTTTTTTTGAAAAAGATGACAAGCTAAATCAAGTATTAAAAAATATGGAGAATTTGTATAAAAATAAAGATAATGAATTAACCAATTTTATTCAAGGTAAATTATGGCAACAAAAAATTGCGCTATTAAAAGACAAATTGGTTATACCTTATTTTTTATATATTGATGACTTAGAAATAAACAATCCTTTAGGAACACACACCCAAGCATTAAGTGCAATTTATTATACATTTTCAAATATTGAAAATGTATCAAAACTTGAACACATTTGTTTCGCAGGACTTATAAAGTCTTCTAATTTTAAAAAATATGGTTATAGTGTTTGTCTTTCTTTTCTTGTAAATGAAATAATTTCATTAGAAACCGAAGGTTTAGAAATTGAAACCTCAAATGGAATTAAACAAGTATATTTTGTACTTGGTTTATTTTTAGGTGACAATTTAGGAATTAATTCGATTTTAGGCTATAGTAAATCATTTTCAAGTAATGCCTTTTGTCGATTTTGTAAGGTAAAGATTGCACACAAAAATTATGCACGCAAGATGATAACTCTTTGAGAAATTTAGATAATTATAAATTAGATCTTGAAAACAACAACCCAAGTACTACAGGAATTTATGAAAATTCAATTTTAAATAAGATAGGTTCCTTTCATGTTGTTACAAATTATGCAGTTGATATGATGCACGACGTTTTTGAAGGTATTTGCCATTATGATATGTGCCACATAATTGTATATTATACACAAGTTATCAAATTGTTTACCCTTGATCAACTTAACTCTAGAAAAAAAAATTTCAATTACGGCACTCAAGAAACCGGAAATATTTCTGGGCCAATAACTTCAGATCATTTAAAGAAAAAACGATTAAAAATGACTGCTCGTGAAATGATGACTTTTACACATTTTTTTCCACTAATGGTAGGAGATCTCATTCCCGAAGATGATGAAGTTTGGCAATTTTTTTTAACACTTTTAACTATTATTGATACTTTATCTTCGTCAAAATTTACAAGTGGATCCATTGCCTTTTTAAAAAAACAAATTAATAGTCATAATACCAAATATATCCTGTATTTTAAGGATTCTTTAAAACCGAAACATCACCCACTGGTGCATTACCCTATGATTATTGAATATAGTGGCCCTACCAAATATTACTGGTGCATGCGATTTGAGGCTAAACATAAACAAATTAAAAAATATACACATGCGACATCCAGCAGAAAAAATATTACGTTAAGTATTGCTAAAAAATTTCAATTAAAATATGCATATTATCTTTTTTATTTTTCAAATAAACTAAATCTTGATGACAATTATCTTAAAAATACTAATATACATTTAAATTTTATAAAAGAGCAATTTCAATTATTAGATAATTCATTTAAGTTTTACTCAAAACTCGAATATTTAGGAACTATTTATAAAGAGGGACTTTATTTGACTTATTTTCACAAAACTATTACTTTAGTTAAAATTCTTGGCATTGTAGTATTTTCCAACGAAAACATTTTAAATTTGTACATTTTATCCAGTAGAATCGAAGTACTTGAATACTCAGAACATTACGATAGTTATTTGGTAAATCCTCATATTGAAAATAATGAAGCATTAGTGTTGAGACCAATTGATACCTTCAGTGGTCCCCCTATTAATGTAATAAAGACAATAAAAGGTACCTATATGATAAGATTAAAGGAATATTTTACATAGGGCATATTTATATCTAGCCTAAAAATAGTATACTAAATGGCAGTGTCAAAATATTTTACAAATAAAACTCTAGGATAGCCCCGGATCTACGATTTGCGCCCCTTTCCTCCAACATTTAGGTTTAAAAATTTTAAACAATTGAATTTTGCGCCCCCGGGGGGTGTCGCCCGGGGTTGGGGCCCCAGTTTGCCCCCCCTAGATTCGGGGCTGCTCTCCGAATTAAATGAAAACAAAAAATCAAAATAGCAAAACATTGTTTTCATACATTCGGTAACTTTGACTCTAAACTAAACTAGTGAGATTCCAATAATTAATCTTATTTTATTTTTATTGATTTTGCCATGTAATACTTATAATCTATAAATTATAGAAGTTAAACATTGTCTAATTAGAATAAGAATGGATGTAAATCAGAACGTTAATGAGTTTATTAATATAACTCAACTTATCAATGAAAGTGAAATTGTTATTTGCAACAATGCTATTGATAATTTACTGGATGCTTCGGAAATTCAAATAGAACAACCAAGAAACAATAATAATAAATATGATGATGTTTTAAAACTTCTACGAGAGTGGGACTGTGAAAACTTATACGAATTTTTTGTAGGTAAGAAAAAAATAAATTTAAATATAAAAGAATGTAAATTAATAATTATATTATTTCTTTCAGCACAGGATGTAGACATAGAAGTTTTAAAATTTCTAAAAACAGAAGATTGTAATAAATTGACTGCGGCATTTACAATGGGCACTCAAATTAAATTTAAAAGTTACGTGAAACAATGGCAATCTAGTGAGGTAATTATTTTATATAATAGTATAGATTTATTATAATACTATAGTAAAAGTGACATTAGAATGAGTCCAGTACATGTGTGAATGAATTTATAAAACTTATTTCTTTGTCACTTTAGTTTAAAAGAAAAGCCGAGTCAAAAAATAATTAAATAAATAATTATTTAAAAATTAGGAAAACTATTTATTGCAAATTATAACTTAACTTTTAAATAAATATTTCTATAATAGCGACCTAATGAATCCTACAACCTACTACTGTCCATTATAAGTTGGCGGAGCAAAGGAATGTTCATGCAGTTTAGATAAATAATATTAAAAAACATACCTCCCAGTTATGTTTTTTATAATATATATTATATACAGTGCTCAACAATTGCTAAGGATCAAAGTAATATTGTGCGTTAGTTTTGGTTAAAATAAAATAAATTTAAAAGTCCGCTCCTATACTGCAATACATTTTTTGTTTACATAATTTAACGATAAAATTTGTTTTTTTGTAGGTTTGTTTTGGGTGTTTTTATAAACTATAGCAAAAAGTTGAAAATCAATTTCTGATATGTTCTTTCTTTATATTCTTAGTTTTGTTTTCTTTATATTGAAATGTACTGTTGTGTTAGTTTGAAGTGAAAAATATGCCCAGAAGGCGTTTACAGCCCGCTCACATGCAACAAATTATAGAATGGATCAACAGTGGGCTACCGCAACGTGAAGTAGCTGAACGTGTAGGTTTTACGCAAAGTGTTGTAAATCGTGCATGGAATCGCTTTGTGACGAATGGTACAGCATCATATGTTCATGGTGGAGGGCGACAACTCAGTACAACTCCTGCCGAGGATCGATATTTACGAATAACTGCAAGGCGGAACCCAACCTATCCTGCTTCTCGTATTAATAGATGTCTGCGTAACGCTACTAACACTATAATTTCCAACCAAACAGTTAGAAGAAGGCTGCACATGACTGGTTTACATGCCAGAAGACGTGCACCACACCCACAGTTAACTAGGGAACACAGGGTAGCGAGACGGCAGTGGGCCGAGGAACACCGCAACTGGACAATTAACGAATGGAGAAGTTGTTTATTCACGGATGAGTCCAGATTTCGTCTGTGTAATTCCGATGGACGTATTTTGGTCTGGAGAGAACGAGGTGAAAGATATAATGAACGTCTTAGGGTTCCAGTCCCTGCTTTTGGAGGAGGCTCCATCTGCGTTTGGGGTGGAATTTGTTTAAACGGGCGCACTGACTTGGTGGTTTTGATCGATACCACAATGAACTCTCAGAGATATCGAGATATCGTTGTTGAACCAATTATTGTTCCGTTTGCGGGTGCAATCGGCGAGAATTTTATTTTAGTTGATGATAATGCGCGTCCTCATCGTGCCCGCATTGTAAACGAACGTTTAGAATATCACGGTATTAATAGAATGGAGTGGCCAGCCCGGTCACCAGACATGAACTGCATAGAACATGTCTGGGCCCAAATGACGAGGCAATTTAATACTTTAGAGCAGCCTGTAGAAACGCTAGAACAGTTAGGTAGAGTTATAAGAGAAATTTGGATAAATTTACCTCAAGATTTCGTGAATCGACTGATCCAGAGTATGCCTGCTAGAGTTCAAAGCCTTATTCGGGCTCGGGGTGGACCAACTAGATATTAGTTTTTTTGGTTGTATTTTTTTTCACAATTTTTACAGTAAAAACATTTTTAAGAATAAAATTTATTTTACGTTATTTAAATAAATTTACATATTTTGGCCTTGTTGACTTTTTTTTACATGTTTGGTTTATATTTTATAAAAAAACAAAAAAAATACACTAAGAAAAACAAAAAATAATACAATTTAAATAATAAAACTAAAAAAAAATGCAACAAATAATTGTGATCCTTATCAATTGTTGAGCACTGTATATATATATATATATGTATATTTATATATAATAAATTATAAATAATTATTATTTATATTACAAAAAATAAGTTTTAAAAGCACACAACACAACAAGTGTTTTATAACTAAATAACGTAATTCCTTCGGTCCGCCAACTTATCGTAGACAGACAGTAATTCGTTCAATAATGAGGACAATTGGTCGATAAAATAGTATTTTAAATACATTAAATTAAATGTTTTTTTACGTCTGAGGATTAGTAAATTTTACTAATTTTTATTTTATATGGGTAGTGCGTTGTACTTACATTTGATGATTTCTACATTTTGATTTACTTTTCATGTTAGGGTATAGTACTCATGGATGAAAAATTATCTCTGTCTACATTTTTGAAAAGTTCGATTGAATCTCCCACACCTGGACCTTCAAGATGCTCGTCTCCATCCACTTCATCAACTTCTTCGGTAAAAACTTACGTCACATTAAAGGAGATCTTGGACTCAAATGAGGAAGGAAAACTTTTCGCAAATAGCCAAAAAGACTCTACATTAACGGACAAGACGCGTCAGATCTTGATTGACCTGATTTGTTTATATTTTATTCATAATGACATTTACATGAGTACGTCTCACTGTCTTCATTTAGCGGATGATATTTTGGAACACTTTCCATCCGAAGAAAAAGTAAACATGTAAATATGTTTTGAATTAATAAATCTTTAATTTATTTTTTAGGAACTATATTTTCGACACCAACAAAATAAAGCTCCAAAAGGCAAATTGCATATTAAGTACCAAAATTTACTACGTAAACTCCGTGATGGAGGTTTAAAACCAAAAAGGCAAAAGAAGAACACCTCTGGGTCGTTTTCTTCAGGCGGCTTCACCAATATTGATTTCCATTCGGAAGTGGATGCCATGGAGCACATAAATTGGATAGATGATGAAAAAAGTTCTTGGCGTGAACTAAAAGAACGATGGCCAAAATGTGTCCAATTCCGAATGAACTTTATTTTAAGAGAGTCACAGACAACAACCGAAATCATTCAAAGATTTCCTTCTTACAAGGAGCCACTAGGATACAAATTGGTATACAAGTTCACAGTACTGTAATGTGTATACTTTATAATGTAATGTTTATACTTTATTTGTCTAACACTATGTATGTAATAATAGGTATTATAACCGAACATAATAAAGTATATATACTTTCCAGTGATGTCAAGAACTAATTTTCTTTATATTACTCTCATTTTAGATTGATATGGACTTTAAATTCCTATATCCCAACGCGAAAATCATGATAGAGAAGTGGGAAAGGTTTAAAGATACATGTATGTTTATTTTTAACCAAAAAATTAAGGATTCTAATAATAAAAGTAATTTGGAAAAACTTAATGAAATGGATAGTAATAAGAATGGTATACCTCTGTCTCAAAATTTATTATGAATTATTTACATTTTTTTTTGTTTCAGAAGAAAAAAATGCTACTATAATGTAGCTAATTCATGCTTTGATGCCCCCTACAACCAAAAAATACATAAATAAGGCTGAAAAAAAAACACTTATAAAGTTCACTATTAGTGATTCCCAAAACTGTTTCTTTTTACTTGGAAAAACCGCAGCTGAAGTTGAGGAAAAAATTTTATTAAGAAAGCAGGAACTACAATCTATACAACCATTCATTGTATTAATTGGCAATGGGCTTGACGAACTTCAAGAAATTTTAGTATATTTTGATGGTATTAAATATAAATTATTTACTGTTGTTAAAGCTATCGATGTTTGTTTTAAAATATTTCATGTATTTAATTTAAAATATCCGATTGAATGTATTGCAGTTTGGCAATTTTTACAAACTTTGTTTTACGACATTAAAACACAATATGACGAATCATTTTCAACCACTATTTTAATGTTAAAATTGTTTAATGAATATGATCCATTGTCAATAAAATCATAATACAAGTCGTGGTAGTCTAAGGCTGGCATTACACTATAAAAGTTCTTTGACAAAGATCTTTTATAAAAGATTTTGGTAAAATATTTTTCATTGTTTATTATTTTATTTTACAAAATATGGTATATTACACTGTACAATCTTTTATCAAATTATCTTTTATAAACATCTTTTTCAAAGAACTTTTATAGTGTAATGCCGGCCTAATATGCAATACAGCATATAAGACCTAATACATTTTTTAGTTTAAAAGTTACACATTTGTAAAAGACATTTTTATTTTTGTAAAATTATTTATACTTAATTTATTAATAAAGTAAGTTTCTTTGTTTCGAATACTTTTTTTGTATAATTTAAATTACCTTCACCCAATTTACTAAATTTGGAGCGCCGTAAGTAATTCATTTAATTTTCTCAATACCTTACCTTACTTACCATAAATTTTTCAGGTAAGTATTAACAAACTATAAATATTTATACATCGAAATTTAAATTATGTAATTAACATTAAAATTAAAAGTTAAAGATTCCGTAAAACAATTTTTAAATTTAATCTGGTGTATAAATCCTTCTTTTGAATTACACTGTATATACAAAAATACAGTATTCTTGTAGTAAAATGAACAACATTTTAGTATAAAATAATATAGCGTTTTGCAGTGCCGGTTTAACAGGGGTTTTTTGGGGACTATAGCACCGGGCGGTAAATATTTTTGGGGCGGTACCGCATACCGCCCATAATTTAAAAAAAAATACTTAATCGTTAGAATTTAGAAAAAAAATTATTGCGACACTGCGTCGGCGGATACAACGGATACAAATGAGAAAAATGTTGTTAGAGTTGAAGCAGCTTCTCCATCAGAAAAACTTGATTTATTGGAAACGGAATAATTTTAACTTTTTGGATAGACGTTTTGCGAAGGGTTGGTTAATGAAACCAATAAAGCAGTCCAAAAACAAAATATGGATTTAAGCACAAATGCTCATCTTTTGTCATTTTTAGTTGAGAACTTTGATTTGATTTTACGTGATCATTTTGATCGTTATGAGGAAATTAACACACTGAAAAAACAAATCTGTTTTATCAACCAATAAATTTTTTGTTGCAATTGTTTTTGTTGGTCCTAATAAAAAATTTGTTAACCCAAGTAAAGTGTTTAATACATTAGTATTTGCAACAAAAATGAATTTGTTGGAAAGAATTAGTTTACCCTACTGACAATATGCGTCGCCGCTAATAGGTATCCTTAAGTAAACATAACAAATATGTTTTTGTTGTCAATTTTCGACTTGGTGCCATGGTTAAAGTTAAGTCTTGGTGTCATAGTGATTGAATAATAAAAAAATAATTTGTCACTGTCAAAAAATTTTTGTGCAAATGCTAGAGGAAGCAGGTTCGCGTTAATTAATTTTTGTGCATTGGGCGTTATGGATAAAGGAGTAAACCAAATATTAACCGAGTGGGGATTTTCTTCATTAGAAAATACTTTTAAAGGTACCAAAATATTTTTTGTTAAAAAAATCAAACAATATTAACCTATACCTACACAATATTGTTAATGCAACTCTTTTTACATACTGAAAGAGGTGCTTTAACAATATTGTGTAGGCATAGGTTAATATTGTTTAAGTTCTTTTAACAAAAATTATTTTTTGGTGATTAAAAGAACTACCAAATGTTATAACAACAAAGCAACAATGTTGTAGTTACTCATTACCATAGCTTTTCCAACAAATAGATTTATAATGAAAACAAATGCAAAAAGTTATAGAAACAAATAAATTATTACCTAAAACAAATGTAAACTGTTTTAACAACAAAATATTATTGTATGAGATATCAATAATATTAGTTACTTTAAACAAGACACCATAGTTTTGTCAACAAAAAATATTAGTTACAGTAACATATTATGTCTCAACAAAAAAAAATTGTTGTTGTAACAAAGATTTTAGTTGAGGCAACTTTTTTTTAGTTGCTTAAACAAATTATTTTTTTCAGTGCAGGAAACGAAAATTATGCTCAGAAGCGGATAATCATAAGAAAATTACAATTTAAAGAAAATATTTCAGAGGCAAGTTTAAAAGCATAAATCTTCGTGGAGGATTTGGATGAGTTTTTTCCTCAAAAATGTGTCCAACTTAAGAAACTGGTAACTTCCCTTTCGGAAATAAAAATAGAAACTCCATTGGAATTAGTTAGTAGTTTTATACGAAAATAAATTAATATCTTCATTTTCGAATATTAATATTTGTCTGCGAATTTTTTTTTTAATGGTTTCAAATGCAAGTGGTGAATGATCTTTTTCTACTCTAAAAAGGGTAAAGAACTACCTAAGAAATACAATTTCCCTGCTAGATGAAATAAATGTAAAGTGTTATAAAACAATTTGCTACTATAAAGACTTGAAAACAACCTTTTAATATTTATTTAAACCAAAGAATAATGTTTTATTTATTTATAACTTTTGATTAGTTTTTATTAGTTTAATGAAACAAAATATTAAACTTTTATTTTTTATTTAGTTTTTCTTAGTAGATATTGTTTATATAAACCAAAGAATGTTTTATTTTTTAGTTAGTGCTTTTGATTAGTTTTTATAATTTGTTTATAAAGGCTCATTTTATATTTTATAGGATACTAAGTTTACTGTTAGATACCAGCCTAACCAACCTAATATTCCACTTGACGTGAGAAAGTAAGACTTAAAAATGTTTTTAAAAAAGTAATATTTTAAAGCATTGGGCGTTGTGTTTGTGCCAGAACCGGGCGGCGAACTAACTTAAACCGGCACTGGCGTTTTGTTATTTTAACAAAAGTTCATTTGTTAAACAAAAATAATTAATTTGTCAAAGGTCTACAAATTATGTTCTATTAACGAATTACGTTGCAAAAATTTAACAAAAGGTTTTGTTATTCCAACAAATAATTTTGATTTATGCAATAAAAATTTTTTTTAACCTAACAAAATATTTTGTCATCTGTACGAAATTCTTATTTCGATCGCACAATTATTTTGTTGGATTTTAACAAATTAAATTGTATATGTTACTAATAATTTTGTTTTATCAACAATGTACATATTTTGTTATATTAACTAAAGCCTATACATTCAGATGATAAAATTTATGTCGGGTGAAATACTACAAAAGATGTTGTTAAATGAACCTATAAGTTTTATGATATTTGCAGAGATTTTTCTTTCAGTGCATTTGGCTTGCATAGAAAATACAGTAATGACGGTACAAATGATTCAGTTTTAATTTTTAGGATTTATTTCATTTTATGTTTTATTTTATTAAATATTTTAGTTTTTAATTTTTAAAATTATTTTTATTTCATTGGAGGGTCATTCCATGTACTAATTTGTATATGTTTATTCAATGTATATTTTATTATTGTAAGGTTTTTATCCATGGAACCCTGATATTTTTATATTTTTATATAAAACACCCATACAAAATCTAAATAAACAATACAAGTTTCTTGTCACACTATTTAGTTTTATAGACTTTTTTAGTTTTATAAAGTAATTTTTTATTGTGACGGGTGGGACAAGCAAAAAACGATATTTTTATAACTTATTGCTTGGAAGCAAAATTCTGCTAAATTATACAAAACTATATTATGTTTAGGTTAGGAAATATATTACTACTTTATTTAATTTAAATTTATAAGATTAAACATTATTTAACCCTATAATATGCATTGAAGATTTTCTTTTAAATATGCTGTTATACTATTTAAAAGATTTTCATTTTCAGCTTTAAAAAAATGTTGTAAATGAAGATTAGGTATGGGTTTTATATTCTTCCATTTGTCTGCTAAATTTGCGCCAGCCTCTTTTATTTTGATAGTAGGTATATCTATGTAAAAACAATTATTAATTTTTTAGATTTTTTAAATACTCAAAACATTCTTTTGGAGTATTAATTGTTCTTTTCTAGATTTAATTTCTAACCACATTTTTTTTTAGCTGATGCTCCATCCTTACCCATTGCGCCTTTTTCATGACTGGTAACAAAAAATGCCCAATCAACACTTAAACCCCAATCATGAGGCGCGTTACATATATTAGACAAGATATATCGATTTTTAAATTGCCCAGCACAACCGTCGGTAAAAAATGTTATATGTTCTAAAGTGGAGCA